GTAGTTCTAGAGTGTATAATTCCACATTTCTTCTGCAACTGTTGGAACAACCGATTTTCGAATTCTCGTCCTTGGTCGTGATGAAGTCTTTCTGGGAATCCAAGTCTTTGGAAGTAGTCATTGAAAAGTTTATCCGCTGCTGTGCTGGCCGATTTATTTTTCGTCGGATATGCTTGGACAAACCGTGTGAAATGATCCACAACAACAAGTAGATATTCGTACCCTCCTTTAGAACGCTCCAAGTGGACGTAGTCAATTGAAATCAGTTCAAATGGATGTGTCGTTCTGATAGGTTGTAATGCTGCCCTCGCCTGTACATGTGGTTTTCTGTCTTTAAGACACTTACACACATTTTTCACATAATGCACAATATCCTTCCTCATTTTTGGCCAATGAAACCGATCTCTAGCCAACGCGACAACTCTCTCACCTCCAAGATGTCCCATCTTCTCGTGAAGTTCTCTATACACTATTTTCCTGTAATCTACTGGAACACACAGTTGTTTACCTTTTCCTGAGTCTCAAGTTGACAAGAACGATACAACACATCTTTCTCCAAACTCAACCTGTTCCAGTCTCGTATCCATGCTCTGACTTTCGGATCTTCTTGTCTGAGGTCTTGCTTCGAAGGTTCCTTCCCCTTCTTGACCCAAGATCGAGCTTTCTTCAGGGCAGGATCCGCTTCTTGTGCTGTCGCTATTTCCTGTTTACTTAACGTCTTTATCCCTGTTCCTTGTCCTTTCGTAACTGTTCCCACGTCAACCGCTGATACTTGACACTGAATCAAACCTGTCTTGTCATCCATTTTCGTCGCCTCTATAATGGCAATGATTTCTTCTCTGCGACTGGTCTTCGTACAATCACTCACCACTTTCTCTATATCTAGCGGCATTCTGTAAAGCACGTCTGCGTCCGTGTTCAATCTTCCTGGTTTGTAATGAAGTTTGAAGTTGTAGTCCGCCAGTTCCGCCACCCATCTATGTCTGGCTGCATCAAGCTTTGCAGTTGTCAGTATGTACGTGAGAGGGTTGTTATCTGTGTAAACGTCAAAGGATCGAGCGTAGTATAAGAAGTCACGGA